GTATTTTCTTCTTCCTTTATATAGTCTTCGGAAAATACAGTCCACACACTAACATAAAAATATCCAAGCAGCCACTAAGTCAGTGGTTCGGATAAAGCAAAGAAATTTCTATATAAAACTAATAAGTAAGCGGATGGATATCAAAATGTATTCTCTGAGTACATTTCGTGAAAGGAATGAAGTATGGCAAAAAAATATAGGTATCCGTGTGTATGAGGAGATGATACAGTCGTGTTATTTCCGAGTGTAAGGATATAAGGAGGAAGAGGACGAGAAAACATATGAGTAATGCGATGTGGAAGAAAGAATCAGATTTTGTCGATATATAAAGGAAACAGGAAAGAGGAAAATGAAGCATCGTATATATTGTCACAAGTCTTTTTATTGAACGCAGAAGCAGATTTATAATAGTTAATTAATCACATTCGTGAAGAAAATTTTGGCATTTTTACTGAGTTCATGTATCAATATTTTTATATGAAACCTCTAAAAATAATATAGAAATACAATCTAGAATGATACAGATTACGATAATTATCAATAGAATACATTTTTTCTTTGTAGAGCTACATAGAACTTATTGAAACTCTCATTCGCGAAACATTGTGTCTCATGAACGATTTTGGGTCAAAGCACGTTTCATCAATTCAACCTTATATTTACTGATTCATGATCTAGATAAACTAGTAGATGATCTACTTTGATATGAAATTATTCTAAAAGTTAATTCTATAGAAGTACTTACCTTCGTTTCGCCGACTTATTCATAAAAGACCGAAAAAATTATTTGTTGAATTCACACTTTCGTCGATAAAAGAAAGAATGAGTGACACTCTGAAGTAACTCATTTCATTATATTTCGCCTATTCCTCCACTTCCGTTTTTGCATATAAATGTAACTAATAGACCGTATAATAACAAGGAACAATATATGAGACATAAAATTTACTTTCTATTACTCGTCATATTAAAATTCAAACACTGAACAATTAAATTGCAAAACTGTGAATTGTCTTGATGTGTTATTAAAAAGTACTGAATAAAATGATAAAAGCATCTTAAACGATGTATGAATAATACTTCCTTGTTATATGATATGCAATTAATAATATTTTTAGATAAAAACATTTCTGTTTATGGTAGTTACTTGTTTTTTACACATGGCGTCATGATAGGCAAAACTAATTAACCTGCATCATCGGAGAATAAAAGGAAGGAAGTTGTTTACGCATATTTGTTTTCACATCTTTTTCGTGATAGACTATGTGTAACGTGCAAAGTTAGGAGCAATCAATTATTGCATTAAGTTATCGTTGAAAAGGCCAACGATCATATCGAAAGGAAAAAAAATAAAGCATCGCACACGAAGAAATGAATAAAATCATCTTGAGGATGTGAATGTGAGGTGACGATAATACCCACACCCACATAAACAAAATTCAGTAAAAGATTCATGCTTAACAAAGTGATATATTCAAGAATAATATATTAGTTTATTGTTATGATGATAATAATGTTGACATAAACTGAAAAAAAACTGTCTTTCTTTATATTAAATCAGCGATGTTCATTGGCATCTCTTGTATTTGAGTATTGTAAAACTGTTCTAGATCACGCAATATCCTTCGATCTTCATTGGTAACAAAATTGATAGCGATACCTTTGCGACCAAATCGACCACCTCGACCAATACTGAAAAATCAAACAATATAATAAATTGTTTTCAGTTTTTCTTTTATATGAAACATTCGAAAAAGGAACTTACCGATGAATATAATTTTCGCGGTTATTAGGCAAATCATAGTTAAGGACAAGATTAACTTGATGAACATCAATACCACGTGCTACTAAATCAGTTGCAATCAATATTCGACTTGAACCTGAACGGAATTCTTTCATAACTGATTCACGTTCTTTCTGCTCTATTTTACCAAACTACATTGAAAAGAAAAAGAATTTATCATAACTTGTTCGTTTTTGTCTAAAACATAATTTTCGAAAACTTACTATAGCTGAAACTGTAAAATCACGTGAACGCAGTTTTTCTGTCAAAAATTCGACTTTTCGACGTGTATTACAAAAGATAACAGCTTTTGCAATCGACATTGTTTCATAAATATCACAGAGTGCATCGAATTTGTAATCCTGAAAATAGATAATTTATACATAGTCGGTTTATTAATAACACACTTACTTCACGTTCGACATTAACATAGAATTGTCGAATACCTTCGAGTGTCAATTCTTCTTTTTTGACGAGGATTTTAATTGGATTATCTATGAATTTAGTTGTCACTTCAAGAACATCACTCGGCATAGTAGCTGATAGAAGAATAGTCTAATACGAGAAATAAATTATGAGAAAATAAAATGAAATATATCAATCATACTTGAATATCTTGTGGCATCATGACAAAAATATTATAGATTTGTTCTTTGAATCCTTCTTGAAGCATTTCATCAGCTTCATCCAAAACAAGCATTTTGATATCTTTGCTACCTGAAGAAATTCATCAGTGATAAATCAAATTAAATATCAGAAATTCGATAACTTACGAAGAGCTGATCGTTCGAGCATATCATAAACACGACCGGGCGTACCGACAACAACCTGAACACCAGATTCAAGTCGTTTAATATCTTCTTGTACTCGAGTACCACCAACAAAAGCATGACATGTGACATTCATATAATCACTCAATGTTAACACCACCTTTTGAATCTATATATATATAATACGAGAAATTATTTTCTATTGATAAGTACATCTCTGAAATATACCTGTTGAGCTAATTCACGTGTAGGAGCTAAAATGAGTGCTTGGCATCCTTTAAATTCTAAATCGAGCCGTTGTAAAATCGAAATTGTAAATGTAGCTGTTTTGCCAGTACCCGATTGTGCTTGAGCAATAACATTATGTCCTAGGTGAAATAATCTTGATCGTAATTCAATATTTGACCAACGTTTGTTACTTACCCAAAATACATGGTCTAATTGCCTGTTGCTGAATAGCAGATGGTCGTTCGAAACCATAACCGTAAATACCACGTAGAAGTGGTTCATGCAAATTCATTTGATCAAAGTCCTGAACCTTTTCAGTCCAATTGCTTTCGATTGTTCCATCTTAAACGAAAAAATATTCATCACAATATTTTTTATTTTACATTTTTCAAAATTTTACGTACCGGGTTCCATTGAAGGAACTGCCATAGTTGAACTTTGATCGACATCGCCCCTGCAAATAATTAAATATCCATGAATAAAATATTATTATGTTTTAACATGAGTTCATGAGAAAAAATAATTGAACACTATCTGTCTATGGTGTGAGTGTCATTCAATTTTCACCACACCCACCCGTACTTATATAATGAGGATATGAAAATTCAAAGCTGATACATACACTACTACAAAGTACTGTTGAACACCAATATAAAATATATATATATATATATTAGTAATAGAATGTCCTTTATTGTTAGGACTCTATAAGCTCAAAAACTCTTTTTGCTCGACTTACTTCAGCGGGGACTTTGTATCGTATTTGTTTGTTTTTGGTTTTGTTTGAATATCACTCATAAATGAATAAAAATGAAGTAATAATACATTGTAGAAATATCTAGAATTACAATAGATTAAAAATTATTAGTGAAAAACGAAGGCATATGTATTAAAATGACTAGCAACTCTTCGACGCCGATAAGAAATAAAGCATTGACGAACAAAAGACTGATTGTATTTAGTATTTATAGTGTAAATTGTTGCGCAATTCAGTATTACGAAACTTCAAAAAAAAACCCACTCAGTAATGACGTAAGTATTTACATGCGATAAGAAAAAATAAAATACACAATGAGTCAGTACAGTACAAAAACAACCTCTTGTAAAGCGAATTGAGAGTGTGGGTGTGAATGTGATTATTACTAACATTCATCGCATCCGTACCCACACCCTCAAGACTTATTCTATTCAACTTATATTTATTTTCCATCATTGATTCATTCAGCTTCTATGCATTCGACAAAGATCAATTTTCGGCGAAAATTGGCTAGTCCATCTACAGTAATTGACTTTACTTGATTATATTATGACATAGACTGATAGTTGCCAACTGACGTGGGAACATCTTTAGATATAAAATCGCGTTTGAATCAAGTATACATTTCAGAGACAAACGTCGATGGGTTATAAAATATTCAATAATACTTTCCTCTTCCACGCGAGGTGTGGATGAGAATGTAAGGATGTGCATAGATGAGATACAGTTGTGATGCTCTTACTTTCACTGACGCTCTCAGCAAATCTCATTTAAAAGATTTTAACAAATTCTGTTCATTCGATAGAATTGATTATTATTTGATAATTATTTTGAAAAATATTTTTCTTATATATATAGATCAATTTGCAGAGGCAGCTCATTCATGAAAACTAAAGTAGAAATATAGATCAAAATATATTTACTTAAAGATCACGATAGAATTGTAATGATCTATAATATTTATCAAATTATCTCTTTTTTTAACTCTTAATGTTCAATTTCAGTACAATATCATACTATTTCGTAGTAACGTCTTTTTAACAAAACATCTATAAGAAGTTTTTTTCGCTTAACAAAAATCGGCCATTCATAGTATAACAACGCTTTTCAATCGAATTTTCGACAACGTAAAGATAAATGTAACCATAACGAAAATACAAATTCAATTGTTACTTTTTCGGGATGACGGATTAAAGCAAAATACGGCGTGAATTAATGCAGTAATACACCGTTTTATAATTGCTTCAGGCCGTTTAAGATGCCGTTTCCGATAGTCAGAACGATCGTCCTAGGAATGTCTTCTCGTATAAAAAATATTGCATATTAAAAAGCATCAATCGATAATATTTTATCTACATATGGAGTGTATACATGCGTTTTTGTGGCGATGCTTTTAAATTATCGTAGAACTGACATGTTTACATAGGTCCATTTATGTTCAATATAAAACACAATAATAAAATACAACACGAAGTTCAAAAATTAATTAGACAATGTATTTTAATATTCAATCAACGTAAAAATAAAAACAATTCATCTTTGAGAAGCATATTCATCATGGGAGATTCAAATAACACCTATAGTATAAAATAGATTGAAGCGTCTTATTATTGCTTCGTTTTGCAATTTACCAAATTTAGATTAAGTCACAACATCGAACTAATTAGTAAGTGTAATTAATATATTCTAAATAAATATAATATTATATTTTAGATTATTGCACTACGAAAGGAAAAATAAGTCTTTACTTCAGTAAATGGTGGTGAAGAGAAGCGTGATGTTCGTGCTGGGCAGTAAATATAATCGTAAACGTCTGAAAGCGGTGCATTTTAGATGATCTGAATGGTCGTCCTGGGTATATCAATAGTTGATGAATTGAATATTGTTTAATTACAAGATTTTCTCAAATGTATTTGATATTGCAATACAATCATGAATCCAGATTATGGTGATATAAACGTAATGGAATGATCAGTATTTATTTCCGATCGAACAGTAACACCACCAGTATTTTTCTTTGCCGAATATAATAACTATGAAATCAATTTACACGGTGAAATTAGAATAATAAAAATGGAAATTTTAAATATCTGTTCTTCATCGCATATTGAACAATCATTATTTTTTTCTCTTTTGTCATCTGATTGTTGACTTGTCATTGAATATATTTTTCTTCCATATGTGATTATGTTATTTGTTTTATTGTTCAACTGAATTTTCTTACCTTTCCTCTAATGTGCATTACATTTTGTAGAGTGTCAATAAGAATACAAAGACAAATAAAGGGCCCACACTCATCCGTACCCTTCATTACCTATATTCATTTCTCGATATTGTTGGTGTTAATTGAAGAAAATAAGGGTGTGGGTTTCGGTGTGGATGTGGTTGTGTCTTCTTCCCAATCAAATCCTCACACCACACTCTCAAGATAGTTTAGTTAAAGCTTGTTCAATTGTATATTATTCTATTTCGGCAAGTACGAAACCAAGACGAATGACAAAACACAAATATAAATATACTTGGTATTTTTTCATTATCAGTAGGCGAAAATGTGTGCGGTATTACTTTCAGCGCTTTACGCTTTCTTATGTTGCGTTGTATCGTTATTCCTTTTTATTCGATCTTTTTGATAAACAACTAAACAAAAATGCGGCAGTCACATCGAGACTGATAAGAACCTTGCGAGATATTTATATTTCAAAGATGGAAAAAACCATGAGAAAATAAAAAGCATTAGTCACTGCGATAAAGCTGAGAATAAGTTTTTTTCTCTTGTAGATAAACTAGGGTGAGTTTGGGTATTGCCAACATGTCACACTTATACCCATAAGCTCGCCAGATGACGTCATCAAGGTAAATTCCAACATTGCATGTTTGTCTAATACACATCTGTTTATGTCAACACAAATTAAAGAAAGGCAAAGACAACTTCTCATACGTCTACATCACATTTACAATTATGAGTACCAACAATACATTTTCAACTTTACTGGAACATTTACCAGTCGAAATCTTACAACAAATCTTTGGTTTACTTCCACTTCAAGAAATTTCTACAGCCTTCTGTGGTCTAAATTTGTACGTTGATTCAATAATTCGATCTATGACAGATACACATCACATAGTGAGCTGTAATGATGTTAATTCTATTAACCTGCTACACCTGTTTCCTACTTTAATCAGTCATTTGGTTATTGTAAACGTCGAAACGGTTGATTTTACTTCGTTAAGAAATCTCCGTTCACTTATGTTGAAATATGGCACTCAAGCACAACTAGATAGTATTCGCCCACAAAATTTTCCAATGCTTGAAATTTTTCATATAAAAGGTAATGAGTCTTAATAGTTTTGAGGATGTGGGTGTGGATGTGGCTCTCTACTATTCGTACCATACACATATTCACACCCACACTCACAACCTCAACTTCTTGATTTCTTTCTTGTATGTAGAACTTCATAAGACCTTGAATGGCGACAAACAAACAATAAATAATTTATTTCAAGTGATATTATCCAATGGATTTACACGACTTCGAGTATGTGCAGCGTTTGACGTAGGAACATTCGCCTTCAGTAACACATGGACAGGATCGCCTGCTCTTCGTACTCTTAACTTGCATATGAAAACAAATGACGACTACGAACAACTTCGCTGTATATGTCCTCATCTACGTCGGTTAACTACCTACGAATTTTCGACAATTGATCCAAGACTAGGTACAGTTTTCTTTTATAACTTCAGGCAAACGTATGTGACAAACTTCAGTGTCCTTGACTTCTGCGAAAAGAATCAACCCCGATATAGTTAATCTTGACGCTTTAATCAGAATATCGCTGAAAATATTCATTGCCGAAATCGAAAACACAGATTTGGTTTTTGCATTTCTGAAGTTCTATCTGGGAACATGACATAGTCACAGTTGTGATTCACAACTTGTGAATGAAAAATGTCTGTCATACATAACCTTTAAAGATAACAGAAGGGCATTCTATCTGAACGACGCTCTTTTACTTCATATGTATGTCACTGTTTTTTTTCTGATCCCTTCCCTGATTCTCTATTGTATGCTTATAACCAATATCTGATAATACAACAAAGAACATGAACCTTACAATCTTTATATATGGTAGTTTATTCTATTTCTTTAAAGTTTATAGGTTATTAGTATAGAAATTTGTGACAGAGGATTGTTGAAATTCGTTGAATTTGTATATCTTTATAAAATTAGTAAAAGAGTCTAAACTATCAAATTTAATACAAAGAGCTAATTTTGATTTTGATATAAACTATATGTTATAAAATATTTTAGGATCCTATATTAACGCAAACAAACGTATCTTTGCTGAGCTCCTGAGGCTTAAGCTACTAGAGGCGGAAAACAAGTTCATACTCGGTGTTAACCCATTGTCGATTTTCAGCAGTAAGGAACAATTACCGGATTCCACTTATACGATTCCAAATGCTATTCTAACAAATGGCTATATTATTCAAGGTCGAATTTTACCACAGACTGAACCTTACTGTCAAGCTTCATTTCTCATTCAAATTAAACTGCCAGTTGAGTATCCGTTCAAAGAGCCTGACGTAATCATTCTGGATCCTATATACCATCTAAACATTGACGAAAGAGGAAGAAACTGTTGCTGCTTGGCGTTATCACCCTATGATTCGTATAAACCAACCACGCCGTTGGCTGATATTATCAAGGCTGTTATCCGTGTCATTGACTTCCCTAACATTGAGCATCCCTGCGATTGGGAACGTACCCAAGAATACATGAACGACTACCAAACATATTACAAGAAAGCACTAAAACTAACGCTGTTGCATGGACGACCACGTTATTGACTGAATAGATACGGAAGAAATAAACAGCAAAATTCAGTTTGTACGTTTCCTTACGGATATTTTATATTCATTAATAAAATTGAATCATTAGTATCCTGGTACACTTCGAAACAAAATCGATAGTATAATTGATTTTCATGTGTATCAATATTTTTCTGCTTAATAACAGAGGTGATAATATCACTGATAAGTATGACAAAGCAAGTGACACAATGGGCTAAATACAGAATGTAAGAATACGTCGAGTAACCATCTTGAGGGTGTGATCTACGTTTCTCATGTATTTATCTATAATTTATTTCAAAATAAGTAATGTTTTATATATATATATATATATATATATTGTCTGATTGCTTCTTAAGCATCTCTTTTTACTAGTGTGACCCACACTTCTCGCGGTGCAATGGGACCCCATTCACGGATGTTGAGTTTGCTTTCAAGGTGTTCACCAGGTAGAATCGTATATTCCTGAAGCAGTCTTATTAGTAGGATCTTGATCTCAATCAATGCAAAGCGCATGCCAATACAATGTCGTGGTCCTGCTCCAAACGGTAAATAAGCCATTGGATGACGCTTAGTTGCATGACGTTCAGGATAGAAGACACACGGATCTTCAGGACCCCACAATTCAGGATCGTAATGGACTGTAAAAATATCAGCATGCACTAAGGTACCTTGAAAAGGATGAATACTATAATGATACGATTCTTAAAGAAATCGAATGTAATTACCTTTTTCAATTTTGATTCCTTTTATAACCGTATCGTAAGATGCTTCTCTTTGAATAGCAGCATTTGCAATAGGATACATTCTAAAGACTTCAGAAACAAACATATCTAGGTAAGACATTTGTGCCACAATATCGTAATCTGGATATTTTTTTGTTTCTTCGTCAGACATACTATCATCGCTCGATAAAAATCGATCAATTTCAGCCTGCAGTTTCTGAAGAACTTCAGGATGTTTAGCAAGTGCATACGTGGCATATGCCAAAGCGGTAGATGTTGTTTCATATCCTGCTGCCATAAAGACAAGAATGTTGATGGTAATTTCTTTCCGAGTTAGCCGATGATTTGCTTTGCTGCTGTTGCTATCCTGCACTTGATCCTAGAATATATATGTACTTATAGAAAAAGTATAACTGTCTTCAAACTTTCTACTTACATTAATTGGTTCGTCAGTCATCACGTCTAACATTAGTTTCAGAAGATCGACTCGTGAAGTAGGTGTTTTTAGTCGCTGCTCAATAATTGGATCTAAACGAGTAAGAAGCCACATATTTGAAAGTTCATCTAATCGCTTTGTTGATATTAATGGTAGAATATGTGTATTGAGGAAGACTTTTACGTTGTTGAGTCCAAAATACATTTCAGTAATGATATTTGCTATTTCAGGTGCAAGTTGAGCAAATTTATGAAAACCATCCATTTGAAAGCCACGAGCAAAAAATTCGTCAATTTTCTTCAAATATATATTGTCTGGATTGTTTTGTATATCGGTGTCAATACCAAATGCACATCGACCTAAATGATTTGTCATTCTTACATTTATTAAATAATTTCAAGAATAAAAATATATTTACATATAACATCCATTGTCATTCGTTTATAGTATATATAGATATTAAATTCATTGCCATTGCGTACATGATCGTCAAATTTATCCATTACATTACTTATACATCCATTGATAAGAGGACTCATCATTTTTAATTTAGCTGCAGAAAATGTTGGATTGATGACATGACGATATCGATGCCATGATGGACCCGATGAAGAAAAGAGATTAGGAATTTTGCCTGTTAATAACTCTCGTCGACCGGGAAAAACAGAAAATTGTTTGATAAAAACTTCTTGAAGAAAATCAGGATCGCTAACAACTAAAGTAGGAGCAGTTCCTTGATAAATTCCATATATTTTACCATACTGTTGTGTCCAAGTTTCTAACTGACGATGAAAAGATGCAGCATTCCATAATGTTTTTAAATGACCATAAAAGAATCGAAAAGGTGGTGTAGGAATACCTCGTCGACTAAAATATTGGTAGCGTTGCCACAGTAGGTAGAGATAATAAGTCGTAAGACCAATGCATATAATAAATAGAATCATGAATAAAGATAACATTTTACTTCTAATCTGCCTCTATAACAAAAAAAAACACATTTCTTTATATACATCGACGATAAACAATTCTTCTTTTCTGTTTCTTCGCAATACGCTGGGTACCAAGTATTTTTGAGTGCGTTCTTTTTTCTCGTCGATCGCTAGCTTTGACGTCAAGAAAAAAAAAATGTTTTTGCAACCGATAGATCCAAAATATATATTGTGATTCATCTCGTTCGCTGTTTCGGAGTGGAAGAACGCACAACCAACATATATAAAATGTATACTCTCATCATTTGTTCTGCTCAGACTTGAATGAGTCATACGTTTTTCTAGTGTAATTCAAATTCATATACAACTTGATTCTGCGCACACGCTTTATTACAAATTATATTATTCATTAGTTTATATTTAATAATTGTTTCAACGCTTTGTAAAATCTCTCAAAACTATTTTTATCGTGTAATAAAAAAAGATAAGGTTCAATAAGTTCTAATTCCATTAAAAAAAATTGTCCATCAATATCCAAACCATCTACACGAGTAAAAAGACAATCTTTTGCGAATATTTCTACATATTTTTTAGCATATTGTATTAATTGATTAGGTGCTGATTTTAAATGTGCTACTCCTCCAAAACTGCTTTGTACTCTAAAATCACCCGATTTAGGTGTTTTTAATACACTATGACTAAATTCTCCATTAAAAAATATAAATGACCATTCACCAATTGTTTGTATTTGATTCATAAAAGGCTGTATAATAAAATCTTGTTCTTGAAGTAATTGTTCAATTTTTAGTATTGCTTCAATAATATCATCTTGATTATGTACAAATGTATTAAGTGCACTTGCACTAATAGATGGTTTTATAACTATTTTTTCAGTAGATAAAAGTTTAAAATATTTAAGTAAATCTGGTTTTTCATTTTTTTTCAACCAAAATGTTGGTATAATTTTTAATCCAGCATTTTCAATATGTTGTAAATAATGTTTATCACTATTCCATTTTATTCTATCATATGGATTTAAAATGCGAATGTTTTGATATTTTAACATTTCTAACCATGTATTGAATTGATCTAGTTTATAATGATAATCCCATGGTGATTTCACTATAATCGCATCATATGTTTCCCATTTTACATCAGAATCTGTCCAAACTTCAATTTTTATGTCAATACCTTTTTCTTGTAGATATTGTACAAGAACGACATCTTCATTCTTAATGGATGATGCATAATTCTCATTTTCATAAGTAACGCAAGCTATTTTCATGATTTTATATGTTAGAAATCTAAATCTAGAATAAATTAAAATTTTGATAGTTTATTATTTGAAATATCTTTTTTTGTGTAACTCCTCATGAAGTATACAAAAAAACTTAAGATTTTATGGAAAAAACGGAAGTTGGATAAGGCCATTTTCATACTCTTAATGAAATATCAGTATATTAAGTGTTCCAAGCCTTTTAATAAATAAAAAATCAACAGTTTTTAAGGTGCTCGTATGTCCCTGTATCTTCTCAATTTATTACTCTAACACTATGTAAAACTTTCTAATAGATAAAAGAAAGCTTTTCAAAGATCTCATGGGCTTGAGGCAAAACTAACTTCACTATAGTTTAAAACTAGGTTGGATTTGGATGTGCATGGAAACTTAATCTCATCCACACTCTACACTGCTCGTGCACATCGACAGATTTCGATGTTTTGTTTTAGAATAGAAGAAAAAAATGCTAAAACTTTAACATTATATTATACTCGGTAAGGTCTGAATCAGTATGAAGTTTACTCAAAAGAATGAAAGTACACCATTTGTTACTGTTGTAAGGTAACTATGAAACGAGTAAGGCGTGCTCTTCGTATGATAAGAAAAGAAAATGTTTTTTTTCTTTTTTGTTTTACCCTCTCTTTCTCATTTAAAGCGGTAAAAATAAGAGTAAACTACAGCACAATAAAAGTGATAACTTTTTTGAGTTAAAAACCTTGAGAAAAAATTTATACCTCAACATCATACACTTTTTCTTGACGAAGAAAACACAGTATAAAATATGAGAGAATATCTTTGTATGATGAATATAATAGTTTAATGTCTGAATTATTTTTAACAGAAATCATGGATATTGTTTTACATCAATGATAAAATTAATAGATACAATAAATTTTATATCAGTTAAATGATCTTTTCTTTTCTTAATTTAACTTATATTACTCAGCTATATGAGATGGGAATATCGTGATTACAATTTACTTTTTTCCGTAGATTGAAGAAAATGTAAAAATTATCCAACATCTTGAGTGTCGGTGTGAAGAGACAGAAGATACTCACACTCACACCCACCCCATCCTAGGAAATAACTGGTCACAAAAGATTAACTAAAATTGATGATTATATTATTGTAAACTTTACACACAACAAAATGAACATGTATTTTTAAGAACTGCACAGAAATTTAGTTTTCAAAAGATCATCCAGGCAGAAGTCTTCATGATGGTTCAATTCCATTTTACCAACAATCACTTCCAGTAAGAATTCCCAAATTGCTCTGATGTGAAATGATTTAATACTTATAGAAATATTGAATATAAGGTTTTGTATTCTAAAATTATTGTTAATTACATCCGTTGATATCGATAATAAAGATCACGACATTGCTGATGAAGACTATTTCGAAACAATTGACTTGTTAATGTATTGATATAAAATGTTTTACAATAATTTGCAAGATATAGCCATCTGGCTATGTAAGCAGATATATAATATATTTGAATGGTAGAGAAACTTGTTAGTACGGGATTACCATAAGTATATACATAAATTACGGCAAATGGTATTTGTAAAATAATTGTAAAAAGTGCTTGAGCTAATACCATGCGTAACATATGAGAATTATGACGACTATGAATAGCTGTTGTCCCGTTTGCAGCAGTTCCTGTACCTGATCTTGCTTTATTTATTCCTATAGTATTTTGTTGTGGATTTACTCGATTTCGACTTTGATTCATGTTAGAAAAAATCAATAAACTCAATAAAACTAAAACAAAAGGAATAATTGCTCCATTGAATAATGAAAAGAGAAGTCCATCCATGATATAAAAAATAGTCGATGAACCAAGAACCACTTGACATTGATTTGTCATAGTTGATGGATCTTGACGAACATCATAAGCAATTGGGTAATGTAATGCAAGTAATGCCCAGATGAGAAAAGAAATCACCACTACACGACGACTTATTCTCAAATTACTCCAATTTCGAAGTGTTGGATTTAATGAACTCACACAAAATCGATCAAAGGATATTAATGCAAAGTAAGTCGATGCTAAACAAGGTGATTGAAATCTTAACCAATTACCAAATTTACACCAAATTCTTGATAATAGGATCTTATCACCAAGAGATGCATTGAATGTTGATATACATTGAATTAATATAAACATATTCACTGTACTAAGATCAACAATTGATGTGGCTAAGAAATAAACGCCACACGGTTTAATTCGAAGTTGTTTTTGAAGAAATGTTATTATATTTAACACTGCTCCACACGTACCAATAACATAAAGTATAAGACATACATATGGATCCATTTCTTGAAGAATGTTCACTGTTCGAACAAGATCATTAAACGATGTACGTGTACGTGTTGAATTCGACATTCTCGCTTGGTGTATTTTTTAAAAGAAGTAGAATTAATTGTATTTTGAGGACTTTTTCAAAAAACAGACAGAGACATGAAAAGAATTATAAGTATGATTCTCTTCATAATGTAATTAG